AGGGGTTAGGCACTGCACTATGAAGCAATCCACAGCCTTTGCAGCACGAGTTCAATCCCCTGCCAACCAGGAGCAACCTATATGGTGCAGCAGTCCTCTCCTGACTCGCCCACTGCTTCCCTCAGCAGTGTATTTCAGTCATTCCTCCTGTTCTGTTCCCCACCCTGTCTCTGGTGAATCCTTTCACACCCCCTCCCCCCACACCTCTGGCCTGTACCCCAGTTCTCATATGCATAAATAAATAAATATTTAAAAAATAAAATCAGTCATTTTGTTTGTAAAAAGTGGTTGCTGATGGTTTATCAAGTGATGAAGAATTGTTGAATCAGCAACTTGTAAAGAACAGAGGAAAGGAGGTGAATATTAGTAGACTAAAAACAAGGGAATCTACCACACTGATTGCCTCTGATTTAGCATCCCACAGTCTTGCTGCTTATGATGTAACATGGTCTTTTTGAGTTTCCCTTGAACAAGGAAGAATATAACCTCAGATTGAAGAATTGGAAATAGACTATTTGAAACAGCTTAAAATTCTAGTGTTTAAAAATAATGAAGGGAGCTCTTCCTGGCTGCTTGTGTCTGTGCAAGTGTCCTTTATTCTTCTGCCCCCCTTCTTAATAAACCCACTCTTTAAATATAAAAAAAAATATTAACAAAGTTATAAGGAGTGAAATGGGATCTAAATCTAGCACCTAACATTTTTACATCAACATTTAATTTTGTATCTTACAGTAAACGCTTTTGCATGATTTAGGAAAGTAATTATCTTTCCTTGTAGTAAAAGTTTATATTCTCAAGTTTGTACTATTTTGGGAAATATGATTATAGTAATGGTTTCCTTGGGTATAGATCAATATTTTGTCATTAATCAAAATGTAAATATTAGGTGAGATAAACATTAATTCTCATCAAGATCATTTATTTATTTATTCATTTTTGTTTACGTGTAAATTGATTCTTCCTTTGAATCCAGGATGGCATGATGCCCAACTGAATATACTGACATATGTGGATGCTCTAGTAGAGGTCACATGACCTGTGTTCTGGCCAATAATTGACACATACTCAGACTACCTTTGCTGTTAATACCTTGTTTTCCCTTTATGCCTTCTAATGTCTAGAACAGAGACATTCAATAATCATCTTGTGCCCAAGAGGAAGAAAACTATAGAAAAAACATGGTGGAGCAGGGAAATAGGAGACACTGCAGAGCTTGGCATTTTGGTCCCTGGACTTCAACACAGTATCTGTCGGCAGGAATAGATGATTACATTGTTTTGTTCTTGATATTTGCTAGTCAGATATATTATTTTGTCCAGTTTTTTTTTTTCTGTTTTGTTATGTTGGCAGATGAACGCATCCCTAAAGATATACATGGTTAATCATTTTGTTGTATGCTAACAGTTAAATCATAATTAAATAATGAGTGATAGTCACAAATAGCAGTTGTTTTGAGGTTTCATGATATATTGAAGTTATGTGAGAAAATATTATGAATACTTGAGGTTTTCATCAAAATAATTTTTTAACATTATAGTATAATTCACTCATGGATCACCTTAATTAACATCTCCTAAATTTGACATCTCTGAGTTTAGTTTTCTCATCCAAAATACTTTTTTCTTTAATTTTTTTCTTTAATTTTTTATTCATTGATTCATAATTCAAAGTACAGATACATAGCAGTTTGGAAATACTTCATTTTGAGAAAATGAAAATAAAAACTACACTCAGGACATTTTCTGGAAAAGAATAAAGAACAAAAATATCCAAAGACACTAGGGAATGTTGCCAAAATATTTATTTGCATTCATTATTTTTTGATAGAATACACGCAGACCTCTCCTGCCGTGCCCGCTACTCCCCTCAGCAGTGTATTTCATCAGTCTGCCTGTTCTGTTCCCCACTCTGGCTCTGGTGCATTCTCTTACCCTCACATGCTTCTGACTGTACCCAGTGTTTGTATAAATAAATACATCTTAAACAAAATAGAATAAAGTTTCAAGTGCTTCCTAGAATGTCAGATATCGTTTAAAGATACTATGTAAAAATGTTATAAAGTAATAAATGTGTATTTTATATTCTTATAGTCATATATAAGCAAAAGAAAATAGTGCCATACAGAATAATACACAGAACTGAGTGTGAGAAATCTAGGCTACAGATTCAAATCTTGCAATTTTTACTTACATATCTGAGACAAATAAGTTCTTGTACCTTTGGATTTCTGATCTGACAAAAGGGGTTATCTTGCTGATGATTACTTAGTAACTTAAATGGTAAAATATTTATGAAATATTTTGGGAAACCTATAATAAATTTTAAATGCCACGATTTTTACAAATAATACATAATGAAAAAATGTTTTTACCTCCACCATGCCAAATACCTCTTACTTCCTCCCCACTCTTAACCTCATTTTAGTTACCAGCAAGTTTGTTTTTTCATTTTTTTTAAGATTTATTTATTTATTTATTTATTTATTTATTTATGCAAGCACAGGGTACAGTCAGAAGCACGGGAGGGTGAGAGAATTTACCAGAGCCAGAGCAGGGAGCAGAGCAGGCAGAAGGACCGAAGTACACTGCTGAGGGGAGCAGCGGGCTGCAGGAGAGCTCTGCGCGCCATGTGGGACCCTCCTCCGGTGGCTGGGGAGCAGCCGGGGATTGAACCGGCGCCACAGAGGCCGCGGGCAGCTTCGCAACCCAATGCTCAACCGCTGCGCCACCGGGGAGGCCCTGTTTTTTCAAATTTTTTAAAGATTTATTAATTTATGCATACAATACTGGGGTGCAGGCCAGAGATGCAGGGGTGGGGTGAGAAGATTCACCAGAGACAGAGTGGGGAGCACAACAGGCAGACCCACTGAAACACTGCTGAGGGGAGCAGCAGTGTAGACAGAAGAGGTCTGCTGTGCTATGTGGGTCACCTCCCTGGCTGGGGATCAAACTCATGGCTGTGGACAGCTTCATAGTGCTGTGTCTTAACCCCTTGCGCCACTTGGGAGGGCTCTCAGCTAGTTTTTTTTTTTTTTTTTTTTTTTTTTTAATTTAAAGATTTATTTATTTATTTATACAAGAACCAGGGTACAGCCCAGATGTGCAGGAGGGTGAGAGGATTCACCAGAGACAGAGCAGGGAGCACAACAGGCAGACTGATGAAATACACTGCTGAAGGGAGCAGCAGGCGAGACAGAAGAGGTCTGCGTGCCATATGGGACACCCTCCCACCCCCTCCTCGGCTGGCCGGCAGGGATTGAATCGGTGCTGCAGAGGTTGCAGACAGCTTCACAGCGCCACCAGGGGAGGCCCCCATCAGTTAGTTTTTATAAGTATTTTGATTTGTCAAATCATCTGAATATAATTGTTACTCTCCATACAAAATCAGGTTTCTTTGTGCAAATTATAGTTAAAACTAAAATACTGAAGCAATGAATTAAGCAGAGAAAATTTGAGATAACACTACCTCAGGAAGATGGGACAAATTCTAAAATCCATCTTGCTGTAGTTAGCAGTTACACATTAAATAGGAAAATGAGGGGCCTCCCTGGTGGCACCAGGGGTTAAGCAGAGCACTATGAAGCTATCCGCAGCCTCTGCAGCATGAATTTGATTCTGGCCCAGCCAGGGAGCTACCCACATGACACAGCAGACCTCTCCTGTCTAGCCCACTGCTCTCCTCAGCAGTGTATTTCAGTCAGCCTGCCTGTTCTGTTCCCTGCTCTGTCTCTGGTGAATGAATGCTATCACCCTCCTGAACGTCTGGCCTATACCCTAGTTCTTGCTGCATGAATAAATAAATCTTTAAAAAAAATAAATAGGAAAATGAGTCATGGAGAAATGCAAAAGGAAGAAAAAATACAAGGGAAACTTGTATTTTCTCACTTGCAAAAATGATCAACACTAGCAGATTCAGGGTATCTTGTGAATTATTTAAATATTGCTAATAATGAATTCATAAAGTATGTGAGAGTTAGTTTATCCTTCCACAAAGATAGAAATGTCAGTGGCCTGATAAGATAAGTTTAGGGGAAAAGTAAACAAGTACATGCATGTGGGCTTATTGGCCTGTCCTCCCTGAATCAACTAGTTTGCAAGTGATAAGTATTCTTCATTTTAATACTGATTGGAGTGGGACTCATTTTCATAAATGTTCAATATGTGCCTTTATCAATATGATTTACTTTACTCCATAATTCCTTCAAACTCCTTCCAATATTCTGCAAATGATAATATTTTATCTTTTCTTTTGCTCAATAGTATTTCAGATGTGGATCTACCACATCTTCTTGGGCATGAAGGTTGTTTCCATGCCTTAGCTATTGAAAATAAAGTTGCAATAAAAATTGTAGAGCATATAATTTTCTGAGTTGATGGTTACATAGTCTTTGGATAGACAGGAGTGAAATGCTGAGTCATAAGGTAGTTCCATTTTTAGGTAAATCCACCAGTTTAAATTCCCATCAAAAATGTAATAGATTTTCTTTATCTCAGAAGTCTCTCCAGGACTTATTTATTTATTTATTTATTTGATATGTGCCTTTCTCATTATGTGAGATAATATATCATTATGGGGCCTCCCCTGGTGGTGCAGCAGTTAAGTGCTGGGCTGCGAAGCTGCCCGCAGCCTCTGGAGTGCCGGTTCAATCCCAGCCCCCAGCAAGGGTCCCACATGGTGCGACAGACCTCTCCTGCCGCCTGCTGCTCCCCTCAGTAGTGTACTTTGTCATTCTGTCTGTTCTGTTCCCTGCTCTGGCTCTGGTGAATTCTCTCACCCTCCCATGCTTCTGACTGTACCCAGTGCTTGTATAAATAAATAAATAAATCTTTAAATATATATATAAATATAAATATATATACATATAACTATATATATATATATATATATCATGGTGTTGAACAGCATCTACATTATTTAAAGTGATGATGGACATTTTTCATGTGTCCATTGATCTTCTGGATATTCTTTTATTATATTTTATCTATAAGACCTGCTATAGATTGAAGCCAGTTAAGCCACTGTGCTTTCCTTCTCATTGGGCCTGGTGTGAAATGGCTGGGAAAAGCAGCCTCCTTGGTAGTGTATGTGCCTGTTGCATGTATGGATTGCTCTAAGGGACTTTGGAGACAGCCTTTTTCTGTGATCTTTCATGTCTGACTTCATGCTGTCCCGATGTTACACTCCATACAGGCATGCAGGGTGCCTTAGGAATACGGACACAGTGGTGTCCTGGGTCCATGTTGGCCAAGTCATCAGTCCATCCACACCAGAACAAGGGGAATGTCAGTGAGGTGCTGCCTGGGACCAAGTACAAATTCCCTGGGTAGAAGAAAATCCACATTTCTGAGAAGTAGGGCCTCACCAAGTTTAATTCAGTTGAGTTAAAGTCATTGAAGACAACATGTGGTCCATCCCAGGTAATGGTGGGGTCAAATACAATCCAAAATGTGAACCCCCTGGACAAATTTTGGGCCTGCACATCTGAGAGCAAAAGAACTGCCCCCTTGTTAGTCATGCAAATAAAAAACAAAGTCTTACAAAAAAAAGATAACCTGCTTCCAAATTATCAATTTAGGGTTCTTTTTAACTATAATTGCTAAATTTAATATGTATTTGGCATATTTTGGATATTAACCTCTTGACAGTGTGTAATGTGTGGATATATCGTTTCATTCAGCAATAAGTCTTTTTAATCTACTGATATTTTACTTCACTGTGTAAAATATTTTTAATTTGAAGTAATCCTAGTTTTTGTTTTTTCTTTAATTTCCTGTGCCATAGATGTTGAGTCTCCCAAAACATCTTTAACGATTCATTTATTTATGCATACAAGAACTGGGGTACAGGTCAGAGGTGCAGGGTGGGGTGAAAGGATCCACCAGAGACAGAGTGGGGAGCAAAACAGGCAGACTGACTGAAATACACTGCTGAGGGGAGCAGTGGGCAAGACAGGAGAGCTCTGCTGCTCCATGTGGGTAGCTCCCTGGCTGGCTGGGGATCGAACTCGTGCTGCAGAGGCTGTGGACAGCTTCACAGTGCTGTGCTCAATCCCCTGTGCCACCAGGGAGGCCTCCTCCCAAACATCTCTATCAATTATGTCATGAAATGTGTTATCAGTGATTTCCTCTCTATATTTTGTTGTTGCAGTTCTTACGTCTAAGCTTTTCTTTTTAAAGTTGTATTTATTTATGTATTTTTTAAAGATTTATTTATTTATAAAAGAACTGGGGTACAGGCCAGATGCACGAGAGGGTGAGAGGATTCACCAGAGACAGAGCAGGGAGCAGTATAGGCAGACTGATGAAATACACTGCTGAGGGGAGCAGAGGGCGAGACAGGAGAGGTCTGCTTCGCCATGTGGAACCCTCCCCTTTCCGCCGGGATGGAACGGGTGCTGCAGAGGCTGCAGACAGCCTCACAGTGCAGCGCTTAACCGCTTACTCCACCAGGGAGGCCCTAACATTTTATTTATTTATGCATGCAAGAACTGGGGTACAGGCCAGAGGTGCAGAGGTTGAAAGGATTCATGAGAGACAAAGTGGGAGCAGAACAGGCAGACTGAATGAAATACGATGCTAAGGGGAATAATGGAGGGAGACAGGATAGATCTGCTGCACCATGTGTGTCAGCAGCCTGGCCAGGAATCAGACACATGCTGCAGTGGCTGTAGATAGATTTATAGTGCTGAGACTTAATCTTTTGCACCACCAGGGAGGCCCCATCTAAATTTTTAATCCATTTGGAATTTATTTGTGTGCATGGAGTTAGAGACTGGCCCAACTTCTGTCTTTCACATGTGACCATTCAGCTTTTACATTTTTAAAAAATACTTTCATTCCCGCATTGTTTTGTTTTAGCTACTTTAGAGTGGATGAAGTATTGATATGCACATGTGTTTATTCTGGGCTTTCAGTCATGTTCCAATAATCTATGTGTTTATTTTTATTTCAATACCACGTTGTTGCAGTAACCGTTTTTTGTTTTTGTTTTCGTTTTTGTTTTTTAACAGTATAGTTTAAGTCAGGTAGTAGAATGCTTCACTATCTCTCCTTTTTATTTCACCAGATTTCTTTTGCTACCCATACCTTTTATGGTACCTTATGATTTTAAATACTATTTGTTCAATTTACTTGAAGAATATTGTGTGCATTTTGATGGGATGCATTAAATTTGTGTATTGTTTTGATTAAATAATCGTTTTGACTACATTGATTCTCTCCATCCATGAGCATGGACTATCTTTTCATCAACTTACATTATAATATTTATCTTTTAATAAAGTCTTATAGTTTTTATTGTATAAGTCCTTTAAATCCTTGGTTATATTAATATCTGGGTATTTGGTTCTTTCCAAAATGATTGTGACTAGAATTACTTTCTAAATTTCATTTTTCTTTTTTCTTTGTACTTAAAAATTAAAATGGTTATTGTATGTTGATTTTTATCACCTTCAGCTTTATTTTTCTAATAGATTTTGGTAGGGGTTTCAGGGTTTCTATAAAAAGTATCAGATTTTCTACAAAAAAAGTGAAAGTTTGACTTCTACTTTTCCAACTTGAATTTTTTTTCTTCTATTGTGTAACTGTTCTAGCTAAAATATTTAATATTAAATAAAATTGCAGTGGTGGCAGTAGGCATACATTTCTAATTTCAGTTAACTAACTTTCAGTTTTTACCTGTATGTCATGGTCGGTGAGTTTGTGAGACATTTTCTTTATTATTTTGACATAAGTTCTTTCTATTTCCATACTGTTCAGAGTTTTTTGTTTTTTTTTTAAGATTTATTTTATTTATGCATTCAAGAACTGGGGTATAGACCAGAGATACAGGGGGTGAGAGGACTCACCAGAGACAGAGTGGGGAGCATAATAGGTGGATAGGTGGACGGACTGAAACACCCTGCTGAGGGGAGCAGTGGGTGAGTCAGGAGAGGTCTGCTGCACCATGTGGGTAGCCCCCTGGCCGGCCAGGGGATCAAACTCATGCTTCAGTGACTGCAGACAACTTCACTGTATGGAGACTTAACCCCTTGCCATACCAGGGAGGCCCCATTCAGAGATTTTAAGACAACGGAGTTCAGAATATTCACAAATACTTTTTCTAAATCTACTGATATTTTCACATTAATTTCATCTTTTCTTTTGTTGAATGATTTCAAATTATGTATATTAAACCATCCTGCTATCCCAGGTGTGAATCCTAAATGATCATAAGCATAATACTTTTAATGTATTGTTGACTTAATGTGTTAGTATTTTGTTGAAGATTGTTGCATTAATATTCTTCAAGAATAGTGATTTGTAGTTTAGTTGTACTGTCTTTATCTGCTTTCAATATTAAGGTAGTGTTGACAACAAAAATGCATTAAGAATCAACCACCTTCTTGTATTTTAAAAATAATTGGAGCAAGATGTGTGTTAGGTTTTTTAAATACTTGTTAGAGGAGAGAGGCTGGAGGGAGAGAGAAGATGCTAGGCAGGCAGGACCCCTGAATCATAGCATGCTTCAGGGACAGTGAGGATACATACTTGGAGCATACATGTACCTGGAATGGAGATGGAGACATGATGACCAATGTCTCAGCAAAGAGGAGAAATGGAAACCTTTGGAAAGCTTAGGAAAGACGAAGAAACAGTAAATTAGGATCAATTTCAGTTCACCAGGATGGATATATGCCTTCCCCTCACTGCATGTCTCAGGTTTTCTCTAGTCCCCAGTCCAGGAAGGAGAGTAAATATTTCTCGGTTAGAGCATAACTTGTTCAACTATTCAGTGAGGGAAACAGGGCAGCCAATAACTATGTAAAGCAGAGGGGAGAAGCATTCATCTTCTATGAAATCTCTAGGATTGCAAGATTTTCTGATCCATCTGTTGGAAGCTGGAAAATTCACATTCCCCTCCTCTTTATGCAACTTCTGGTCTATACCCAGCAGCATGCATAGAATAAGTAAGTACCGTGACTTCAGTATTCTCCCTGTATTTTTTTTTTTTATGTCCAATTGAGAGAATCAGCAGAGGTGCAAGTTTGGAATTAATGCAGGTTTTGGATCTGTTCCTCTATACACAAGACCTCTGGGCATAGTGCTCCCGTTTCTATAGTCTGAGGTCTCTGAAACCATAGTCTTCAAAGGGCTTGAGTTCACCCATCCTTCCCACTCAGAAAGCTTAGAAAAAAACCTCAAGTATATATAGTGAATACAATCTGTCCAGTGGGTTTTCTGTGTCCACCTTGGGGAATCAGCAGCAGAATAGGCTTGAGATTGGTATGGTTTCCAGTATTTGATCCCCCAAGTACTGGAAAAGTATAGGACCTCTGGATATAGTTTGTGTAGCCTTGCAGGAAGAAGACTTGTAGACCACTACTTCCTCAGTCAGAAACTAAAAGTGACAATAGAGCACACAGTCTGAGAACAAAGGGCATCTTGGTTGCTGTTGGCCAATGAAGGAGTCAGTATAGTTACCCACCTCTCAACAGCATGTTTTTTGGGCTTCCCTCAAAGCTCCCAAAATACTACTACTAGAGAGTACAGAATTTTTGGGGACAAAAGCTAAAACAGGAAAATGTTACAGCCATTTGAGGAATAAATGGACTATGACATCATGAGGAGCAACTCTTCAATAACTTACCACAAAGATTTGGAAGCTCTTATTTTCCAGTCAGACAGAGTTCAGAAATGTCATGATAGAGAAATCAAAGAAATGTAGAACAAAAATGAATGTCATGAGAAAATGAAATTAGTGAATGAAATTAGAAATTGAAAGTTTAAGGAAAAAAATGAGTAAAAGATAAAATGATCAATCAAACAGGTAAAAAAAATTCAAAAAGTTGTAAAAGTAAAATATCTTTAGTAGTGGCATGATATATCTGAGGAAATGTGATCACATGTGTCTTAATCACATACATTGTTAAGTCATGTCACTGCAATAAATAAATAAGTAAATAAATAACAAAAATAAATAGAGTATCGAAAATAAAATTTCAGTAGATTTTTCTCTGAATATGTCAGGCCCTGGAATTTTGCTTATGGAGAGATGTGTGATTATGGTTTCAGTTATGGTGATGATAATCAACTTATTCATATTTTTGTATATTCCTGATCTATTCTTGGTAAGCTATATTAATTGAAGAATT